TGAATCTGAAACTGTAGAGCGGATCGTGATCCATCCATGCAAAACCATAGACTGAGGTATTTCTTGTACATGCACTTGTCGAGTTTTCCTTCGCGTCCGTAGAGACAAACTATTTTTTCCCTTGTCCAAAAGCTGGCATGACTAGCTTTCAAATAAGGCTGCTTGGCAAGAAACAAAATGTCAGTTTTTTGCCGTACATACGAGGAAATAAAAGTTGTGAAGGAAAAATTGCCCATCTGTACAGGACTGCAGAGGCGCAGAGCTGTTACATTTTGAAGAGTTCTGACTTTTGTTTACTCTATTTGCAAACTGCTCTCTAAGAAATCAAGAGCAAAACGGTCTTACGTAAGAATTAACGCCTCTTTCTAAGACACAACTCATCTAATAAACGCCTACATACTACGAAAATTTTATAAACGGCCCGGGCATTTTCGATCACTAATGGGGTGCCCAAAATAAAGAACAAAGCAGCGTATTAAGTTCTTTGTATGTTTGCATGGCAATAAAACATATAATAGTTTTGTTTGTGGAAACACCACGTAAATTTATTACTGCAAAGCTTTCGATCCGTAAGCCCAGATCTTCATCGGTGCTAATAATATCACAGAATAGAAAATAGACCAGAAGCCTCACTTAGCCAAAATTATGTCCGAGATTTTTCATGCGCAGGCGCGAGCCAGCAAGTGTAATCACGACCCCATCAAACGCGAGCAACGCCATCAATTGTCATCACTAGGTAATAAAGATTGCTGTTTTAACCGTTTTTAAATGCCACAGGTCCAAATAATGGTCATCGTAACAGGAAGACACGACAAAAAAAAACAAAAGCGTAAAATATTTGCACAATAATTGCAGAATATGCAGCGTACACGTTGAGCATGTTTTTCGAATTTCAAGAAAAACAGTTGATAGGAAACCAACACACACAGACAGGTATCGGCATTATAATTCATTTCATCATCCTAGTATTAAAAACTCTGTGTGTAAGACACTCATCAACCGAGCGAAAACAATTTGTGAGGTAAGAACGTTTTTGAATGGCTGGCCCCGTGTCAAAACTGGGGATAGAATGGGATAGATGTGAGAAATATTGTTTAACTAGGCAACTGAAATTGAACATTTCAGACGTGGATTTAAGCATTTTGAAAGTTTCAAGAAAAAATATAAATTTAAATAAATCAATTTTGGAATTTTAGGCAGTGTTTGAATAATTAAATTTGAAACAAAATCTCAGCCAATCAAATGGACTGGTTGTGCTTTGCGATTTTTCCTGCCGAAACAACAAGCTGTTTGAAAATAACAAGTGCGTTGTATCATTTTGTGATAGTTGTAGATGAATGTCTTTCGCAGACGAATATTCCAAACTAAGCGTGACGTGTGACGGACACGTGAGAAGTGTTTTAATATTCTCTCAGCTGCGTTGTTGACGTTCGCTTCAGGTTACAAAAGCCGTATCTCATGATCTATAATTTGCGATTTTTCCTGACAAAACAACTAACGTTTTTAAGACCTAGTTTGCTTTATACGATTTGCTATAGTATACTAATGAATGTCTTTCAGAAATTTGGGAACTATACACGCGTATTTTACGATACAAAGCGAAATATAAGTTTGTCGACAGGTCAAGACAAACATGCCGCAGTAAGAATTCACGCGTTGGTCGTGTAGTTTCTGCGATTTTTCCTGGCTTAACGTTATGAGCTAAAAATTAAAGTATAGTTTTGTCAAATGCGCAATAGTCTGATAATGGATGTCCTTGATGAATTACGTTTATTCCGTGAAAAGAGACTGAGCAATTCCACATTTTGTACCCCGGTTTCATAGTCTTCACTACTGTAAAGTCTTGCTTGACTACAGTATTTGAATTGTAATTGTTGTATATCATCATGGTATTACTCAAATTACTGTATCTCATTTTGTCTCTAATAATTTTTTGCTTTATCATGAAAATAGCACCCCTCCTGCACCCCCTCTGGCCAGGGCTAGCGCCCCGCCCCACTTGCACGCACGCGCACAATTCCGAACTCCAATGGCGGCTTTTCACAGAGTGATCAAACTATATTTTACACAGTTTCGTTGAATTTTCAAAGAGCCGTTTTCCTATGGATTTTACGTTGTGTCGTACTCTGGACTTTCTTGCGTGTTGAATTAATGTGTTTTTCTTTGCGTAACGACTCGAAAACCACAAAATTTGGACCCAGCGAATTTATACATTATATAGAAGGATATTTAAAGAAGGACAAGTTAAAGGCTTGACAGTTTTACTTTTTAATAAACAACTATAAATATACGTCGTGGACTCATAACATCCGTTGTGTACTTGTGTTAATTTTTGCGTCGCACTCTGGACTTTCTTGCCTGTTGAATTAATGTTTTTCTTTTGTATTAAATTAAGCGACTCGAAAACCCCAAAATTTCATAAATTTGTATTTATACAATATATTGGAATATAAACAAGGACAAACTCTCCTAATTCCTTACGATAGTTTTAGTCAAATGTCGACAATATACCTTTAAATGCATGTATTAAAATCCGCGCAGTACTAGAATTAAGAGAATTCGCGTAGCGCTGGCCGCTGGGTGCGGAAATTTTAGTACTGCGCGAAAAGCTTTGTGGTAGCTATAGTAAAGATAATCATAAAGCGTGCGTTCAAAATGACAACAACAACTAGAACCATTATTGTATGGTTCTCATTTGCTAGACTTGCCACAAGTCGACCTCGAAGAAACGCATTTCGTTCGAGATCGACTTGAATTGTGGCAAGCCTACTCATTTGCCTAATACAATAACATTAGTTCGACGCGAATTTTAATACAAGTATGGTATCATATTTCATAATATAACAAACAATGTAAACTAGCCATACATTTTGCCGAACATAAGTTAACTTCAGCCCCTTTGGACATCTCTTTTTCGTAATAATATTATTGGAACCAGAATCGAAAACACTATTTATAGTGAATTTTTTCTGTGTTGGTGTTGTGTACTCAGGTGAATAATATGTTTGTGATGTTACTCTGAGTGCATATCCACACCGGGCGAGCTTGAAAAATATGCCCGGCCACGGTGGGATTCGAACCTACGACCTTTGGAATACTAGCCCAATGCTCTTCCAACTGAGCTACGCGGTCAGGATGGTTCGAGTAAGTGATATTTCGGAACAGTATCTAGCTCCTTCAATACCAATGTGTTCTTGTAATATGATTTTTTTCTGTGCTGGTGTTGTGTACTCAGGTGAATAATATGTTTGTGATGTTACTCTGAGTGCATATCCACACCGGGCGAGCCCGAAAAATATGCCCGGCCACGGTGGGATTCGAACCTACGACCTTTGGAATACTAGCCCAATGCTCTTCCAACTGAGCTACGCGGTCAGGACGGTTCGAGTAAGTGATATTTCGGAACGGTATCTAGTTCCTTCAATACCAATGTGTTCTTGTAATATGAATTTTTTCTGTGCTGGTGTTGTGTACTCAGGTGAATAATATGTTTGTGATGTTACTCTGAGTGCATATCCACACCGGGCGAGCTTGAAAAATATGCCCGGCCACGGTGGGATGCGAACCTACGACCTTTGGAATACTAGCCCAATGCTCTTCCAACAATCACAAACATATTATTCACCTGAGTACACAACACCAACACAGAAAAAATTCATATTACAAGAACACATTGGTATTGAAGGAACTAGATACTGTTCCGAAATATCACTTACTCGAACCGTCCTGACCGCGTAGCTCAGTTGGAAGAGCATTGGGCTAGTATTCCAAAGGTCGTAGGTTCGAATCCCACCGTGGCCGGGCATATTTTTCAAGCTCGCCCGGTGTGGATATGCACTCAGAGTAACATCACAAACATACTATTTATAGTGTTATTTTCAAGCTTGTGTCTTGAGATTTTCATCTTTTATTTCGGTATTTACAGAATATTTATATTTTTAGCGCGGCCCATGGAACACACATCAAAACAACGCGCTGTTAGAAAAAAAAAGCGGAAATCGATTCTGTTGGTCGGCATGACTTGCAAGTGCATCGATCGAGCTATAAACGTGCGTGGGAGTAAAACCCCGAAATTAATATTCAAAATAAATATTCGTAATCTGTGCCGTATTCAAACGAAACTTTGTACATGAAAGCGCTTGAATACAAGATGTATTTTTCTCACATTGACTCTGAGCAAATTCTGAAGAGTTACTAAAGAATACTAAAGCAGGGTGCATTGCCTGTTAATGGGTTAATAAGAGACATTGGCAGATGTGTTTGTTAACCCATTTTAATACTGACAGTACTCTGCCACTAACAAGTAAAATCGTTTGGCGTTACAGTGTAAATTGGTCTGGCGTTAGCCAGAGTTAATACTAAATTAGTTAGCTAATAGGTTAATAGATCTTAATATCCACTTTTGACCCAATGGCTTCATTTTCGTGTTGGCTACTTACTCGTATTCCGTGCACACAATTTAAGAATGAGTTGGTGAACGGGCTTAAATGATGAACGAGAAACAAATTTGTGCGGGAAACATTGGGGATATAACCGAGAATTGTCTAGAAGTATAAATTTTTGCATTCAGTTCATACGCCAAAAAGGCAGCACTTTCCTTGCGATAGTAACTCCGAGTCGTAGATTTGCACCATTACGTCTCCCGATTTTTTAAAAAGTCCATAAATTTGCTTGCGGTTTAAGATTTGTATTCCTGCCTTTTGCACCATAGCACGTATCTCGTTACTTTCAGGCCAGTGTGAACACCTGAGCAGGCGTCTTGTTTCATTAAACCTCGGAAAGGTACTTTTCCTGTGTGTGAGAATGTACCCTGTACATGATTTGGGGATAATGGCTTTTCCAAGGTGGTATCATAGTTCATTATGGAAGTCCCGAATTCTTAGTAACAATGTTTCGTTGCAATATCGTGGCCTTTATCGCCCTTCCTCACAACAAGTCATTTACTGCCAAAAATTGGATAGTTACTGTATATAACCACTAATAACAAAGTTATTTTTTAGGATAATTTTGCCTCTCCGGAGCGCACCTATACAGCGCCTAAACCTCAAGCTCGTGCATTGTTTGGTAAAGCTGTCGCTGTCATCGGAGATTTGGATCTTAGTGGATATAATGGTAGGATAAAAAGAGTTCTTACAGTTTAGTCAATATCAGATGAGTTCCGTTCTCTGAATGCATTCATACACTTGTGTGGTTTTCTTATAAAAACATTTAATATACAGAGAATAATACATGGTGCTCGGAAATACCAGATTTATTTCGAATGTTGAACATATCATGTTCAACACGAGAAATAAATCTGGTATTTCCAAGCACCCATGTATTTTTCTGTTTATTATATAAAGGACAGTCTTTGAAAAGCGATAATTTTTACAGAAAAGCAATAATTGAAAAGCGATAATTTTCACATGTGAGATTATCATGAGTAATCTCACATGTGAGATTATCACTTTTATCAGTGCTCGTAGTACTATTTAAAGCACTATACTTTATATAATACATAATAATATTTCACTGCTTTGAGGGTCAAAACTTGCAACTGGAAAACTTCGATATCTTAGCCCCGGTCAAACGAGAATGAGACTCGATAAGAGTTGTAAGTCTCGCTCGCATTCTCCCGCACACTGTCATTAGAGCATTTCGAAAGTGGAGGGACATTGGCCAAAAGCGGCACTTTTGTATATGACCAAAATCAAACAATTTTATGTCGTTCACGAGCCGAACGAAAAATTTTGAAAATATGGAGTCTCTATAACGTCGGAAATGGCCTTTACAGAGTCTTCACTGCTGCGAAAAGGGCACTTTCTTTCCAGCAAAAGAGGGCGTTTATTCAAGAAACACTTTTTTCGTTATTTAAGTGGGGCACTAGCTTTAGCCCAGAAAAAAGGGCAATTTTTTCGCTTTCTAACTCTTATTAACTCTTATCCTCGTGTGACCGCGGGGTTTAAGCGCGAATAGAACAATTATGTATTCATGCAAATGCTCATTATAGATAGTGTCGTAGATTTGAAATCTCAAGCTAAATAGACCTTTGTATACAACCTGGACTCTATATCTTATAATGAATATATCCTGTATACTGTAGAGCACAATTAGTATAGGTAATAGCATGGTTTTGAGTGCAATTTGGATATAACATGCACGAGTGAGTTTTTCAAATACCTCAAAATAGCACGAGTCCGAAGGACGAGTGCTATTTGAGGTCTTTGAAAAACTCACGAGTGCATGTTTATCCAAATTTCATGAGAAACCATGCTATTACTTATTAATAATTTACATAAAAATGTTCGAGACAATTGTAGTTTTAACTTACGCGTTTATAGCGAACATTCCACTGGCAAAGTTTTCTTGGCCAAATTATATCACATTATACAACGCTAACAGCTTGAAAATTCCACTCAACTATGTAATTTTTGTTAGTCTTGTTTAAGGTAAATGCTTTTCCATTTAAAAATAAAGATAAAAGCCATATTTTCCACGCGAAGGCAACTTTTACTTTGTGTAGCGCGGTGCCATGTTTGTTTTGTTTTGAAGCAATCTGTGACCGTTACTTCTTTAAAACTAAACTGCTTTAAACTGATTGGTTGATTTAATCATCACAATGTTTTTCCACCAATCAGATCAGTTTGTTACAGATTTTTGCACTGTGATTACAGAAAATTGCACTGTGATTACAAAAAATTGCACTGTGATTACAGAAAATTGCACTGTGATTACAGAAAATTGCACTGCTGTTTGGGATTAACTGCACTGAAATCAACCAATCACAGTCGAGTAATATCTTTATGTATATTATTACTGCTCTAATCACTCATATATTGCTCTCATGATGTTAGATCTAATTATTGGTTCACCGTATGAAGGCGAAGGCGGAGTCGTGTATATTTACCATGGCTCAAGTGATGGATTATCTGAAAACCCTGTGCAGGTATAAACTAATTGTTGCATGTATCAAGCTATACGTGTATAATTGCAATTTTAACACAAGTTCGTGATTACAGTTGCATACCCATTTTATCTTACTGACCATTATTCTTAATAAGAGAACCAAATAAGTTGCGAAGGAACATTCTTTTTAACAAATATAAAACTAATGTTATTCCGGGAGGGGGGAAATGTGCATGAATATACTATACACAATCTATTTTAAAAAACTGTACATTTCGAATCAATTTCGATTCATCTTCAGCAGTATGTTTATTCGAAATTGATTCGAAATATACAGTTTTTAATACAGATTGTGCATGTATATATTCATGCCCACTTTTTCGGAATACCATTAGTTGCTGAAACTATGAGCCGGTAAAACATTCTTTCAATGAACCAACCTTTGAAACCTTTCCCCACTTTGTTGGCCGATGACATCATCATTCGAGTATGTAAAGAGTTACGTTGCGACTTTCGATCTCGCCTGACAAAGACAAAGACACTACATCGAAGTGCAGTGGTGTCAAGTAACGAAGTAAATGTACTTCGTTACTGTACTTGAGTATACTATTTTTGAGAAATCAGCATGTAACAAAGTAAACTTTTTCTGGAGTACTTTTACTTGGAACGAATTCGTTTTATAAAATAACATGTATATAACGCGTGCTCTGATTGGTCGAAACCCGTATTTGGATCAGGCCATCCAAACACGGAAGACTATCGTGTTGTTGTTATTTTATAAAACAATTACTTTATGGTTTCCCTGTTAGGATGGCCTGATCCAAACACTTGGGAATGTTGCTCGAGTTAAGAAAAGCGTGCAAAATCACTCGCCTTCGGCTCGTGCTTTGCGGCGCTTTTCTTAACTCTCGCAACATTCCCGCGTGTTTGGGTCAGGCCATCCAAACACGGAAACCATAAAGTAATTGTATATTAAGAAGTAAGTAAACGTTTAATTTCGTTACTTTCTAACTTTTGTTTAATTTACGTCATTTATTTTTATTTTTGGGATAGGTAATAGGACCTCTACATACTGTATAAGCATTATTTAATGGATTTCTTATATCTTCAACGGGGTCTGGAAAGTGGAACATGCCGTGAAATATTGTATATTAGGTGTACGCATAATGCGTGTGCTGTTTTGTGTCTTTTGTATGTCAATACAAATTGCCATTGGAGACTCCCCCCCCCCCTACACACTACAGACAATAGTATATTTACTGTTTGCTTCAAGTATTTTTTAAGGATGCTTTATACTTTTTATTTAAGTACTGTAGGTTTTGCCTCCAGTACTTTTTACTCTTACTCAAGTCGTTTCATTGTTCAATACTTTTACTCAAGTACAAATTCAAAGTCAAATTTAGGCAGCACTGCTGAAGTGTTGAAACGTTGGGTCGTGAATGCAATTCGACTGAGGATTGCAATCATTGCATTCATTCACTTAAACCAAAGTATAGCGAGTGAAAACAAACCATGGTCATTCTGTTGCTAATATAAAGAGAAAACGGAAATTTATTGTTTTCTTTAGACTATAAAAGCATCGGATTTTCCAAATGATCTCAAAACATTCGGATGGTCAATTCGTGGTGAAACAGATCTTGATGACAATGGATACCCAGGTTGGTCACTTTTTATTTGTTAATAGACCCTTTTATGTAGCACGAACAAAATATAAGCCACTCGCAGGCATCATTAAGTATACCGCTCGCATGTATACATCGCATGATTTTTTGATGACACATGTTTTTAGCAATTTTCAATTGTCGTTATTCCGTCTGCAATTAATAATATTATTATATAACCATACATGCTCTGTGTTGTTTAAAAAACAATAACACGATTTTTTTAATATAAACAAATATAATGCTTTGTGCTACAACCAACCAAACACGTATTTCAATACGTATATTAAAGCAAGTGTACATGAATTTTTGTGGGTCCTTCTTGTTTTGAAAAAAAATCATTTAGGGATGACTGTTGAAACTATTTATTTATTTTCGTGGAAATTATTATTGGGAAATATTTGTAGGAAAGAGGTGACTTTGATGTAATATATTTGTTCAAACTTCAAACTAATGTACAGCTTAAGGTCATTGTCCTAGCGTAGCGTAGCGTTTTCCAGCATGTTGAATACATTAGTTGACACTCCAGTGTTCAGGAAACAAAAAAGTACCTTGCGATACGATACTGTTGAAGTGGAAAACAGTCTTTAGACATTATTTAGACAGTTCGTGGTAATAAAGTACATGGAAGTCAGCTGTTTCCTATTCATCAATAACAATTTTAATATGAAAATTAATTAATAATTGTTGTCTGAACTTAAAAAAACTCATTAATAATTCATGAGGAAAATACAAAAGAAATAAATCTTTAATCAATGTTTGTTAATCGGATAAGGATTTGTTCTGATTTACATAAAATTAAGATTTGATTTTCTCGGCTTAGACAATGTTTATTTTTAAAATTACTTCGCCAATGAACACATAAGATGGGTCTATTCGCATCCGATCTTTATCTGACACACAAACTCTCGCCTGCGGCTCGAGTTTGTATATCAGATAAAGATCGGCTGCTCATGTTTTAACTAGTACTTATAATACTCATTGATAATTCACGAAGTAAATTCAAAAGAAATGAATGTTTAATCCATGTTTGTGCATAATAGCAAAGTATTACTGATAAAATTAACGTATGCTTCGTAGCTGGGATCAAAGATGTCTTCCTGACAATAAATGTACAGCGTGGTGTATTTAAGTGGCACTGAAACCAGTTTTTAATCGGGCTTTTTAGGCATCGTACATTGCGATTCAAACAGGTGTTGCTATTGATAAAAAGTTAATTTCCGAATTACTTTAATTATTTCAGATATCGTTGTTGGAGCTTATGCAAGCGATTCAATTATGATTTTAAGGTAGGATTGAATAACATACAATTTACATCACAGTTGTAGACCATTCACTCAGGGATGGATCCAGCGAATATTTTCGTGGACATACTGTAATCTCAATGTAGTTAATCTGAGGTAATCGCAATGTAGAGTTCACCAATATTAGTCATTAGGCCAACCTTTGCGCCCGCCTGTCGGAGGCGGTGCGTCCAAATCCCCCCCCCCTCCCCCCCCCCGCGTATCCCCCAGTGAATCCATCTCCGCATTCACCTGTCAACGGATAAATAGCGCGTGGTATTTATTACCAACAAATTCATCTCGTTGTGGCCTTCGATGGAATATATCAATTAACGTCAAAGACGATGAGAGGTTTTATAATAATTTAAAATACTGAAAAGAGGGTGCACCACTCTCCCTGCACCCCTCTCCCTGCAACCCCCATACTGAACACAGATACCGCTTGGTACATTTTTAGTTGCCCTGTTTTGAGTTCACTCACAATTATTTTTTTTCATATTGCAGACCAGTGCCAGTGGTTAAAGTAGATATTGAGTATAAACTATCTTCTCCAACTATTGATGTATCAAACAAAAGTTGCAGTATAGAGGACAAAATACTCGGCAAGACTATTCAAACTGTGTGGTAAGTAGTCTAAGAACCTCACTCTACCACAATGATCCTTATATTATCTTTCAGTGTGCGCAGTTGTCAGAGGAAGAGCCTTTCACCTCTGAGATCGCTCTGCGGAATCACCGAAAGTGAGTTTTGTCCCGGTACTCCCACAGGGAATAATGACGGAGTGGGTTGGGATGACTAACCGGCAAGCCTGAAAATATTTTTCAAGGCACCAACTGGGTGGGGAAGAATGACATGAGTCTTACGGTGGCAGCCAGAGCAGGACTTAGAAAGACTACTACTCGATCAAATTGAGCTGCGTCCTTCGTAATTCTGCTTCGTATTAAAAGGACCAATCCCCAATTAACCAAAATTTTGATCTCAACAAGTCTGCTCTTTCATGCTGTGATGAAATTTTGTCTATCATAAAATTAGTAATATTCGAAAGTTTCGTTGCGAAATGTTGTAAAATGCGGATAATATACCGGGTGGCCCAAAAAAAAGTACTCCTGTTTGATTCGTAATAACATCTAAACAAGTATAGCTTTTAAAGAGAAATAACTTGCATCAAATAGAGGAAGGACTAACTTAGACTTTGATATATTACAGTTGTATTTCACTTAAAAATTCACGGAGATATTAATCTTTAAATTCGGGAGGATATTTCTGGATGTGTCTGAAATATGCAAAAATCGGCGTATCAAATATTAATCAAGATTTGCCCGACTGAAACATGCACTATTACCAGTAAATAAATGACACTTGACAAATTGTTTATTATGAAACAAAGTATTATTATATCTACAAAATACAAGCAAGATTCATTCGTCCGAAATTCGCGTGTGTTCCTAGCACGAATACGTTTCCTTATTTCATGAGACCACTGCATCGCGAAGGATCGTCATTGGATCGTTCGTAGTTCTGAATTAGGGCATGCTGTCACAACGGAATTGTGAAGCTCTTCTAACTTCTGCAACGTTCTGAAATCTTGTTAAGAACACCCAAACTCTTTTGCCGTTTCTTAATCTTGGCAAGTTCATGGAGTAAACTGAGAATTATATGAAACACAATCAAACCATACAACTCCATAAGACATAACAATTAAGCAACTCCCCAGAGACATGCAACATTTTTGGAACAAAACGTAACAAAATAGTAGCGTTGATACGGTGATGTGTATTTGCAAAAAGCAATACCGGTATTATTTCCTTCAATAAAGAATATTCATCCTGCTCTAACCGAGAAATAATCTACTCAGTCTGTTTGAACCCATTAAAAACATAAAAAAATTAGGCTATTTAAGAATACGAAAAATTTAAGCGCCTGCCTTCCATGGTCAGTCTTTCATGTACATTTAAGTTTGCAAAGACCTAATATTAAATACTTGCATAATTTCGAACGTTCATATTTCAGGAAACAATGAGCTAAGACTTACATGTAAGATGCCTAAATCTACGCCATATCCCTTACAAACCTTAACGATAATTCGCTGAAATACAAGTTAGCCTAATATGTCATTAAGCAAACAAACGCTGGAGTTAATATTTGATATGCCGATTTTCGCTAATTTTAGACACATTCCAAAATATGCTCCCCATTTTTAACATTAATATATCCGTGAATTTTTAGGTTAAATACAACTGTAATATATCAAAATCTAAGTTAGTCCTTCCTCTATTTAATGCAAGTTATTTCTCTTTAAAAACTTTACTTGTTTAGAAGTTATTACGAATCAAACAGGAGTACTTTTTTTTGGGCCACCCGGTATATATATATATATATAATATATATGTATATATATATATATATATATATATATATATACATATATATATATATATGTGTATATATATATATATATATATATATATATATATATATATATATAATATATATATATATATATATATATATATATATATATATATATATATATATATAAATATATAATATATATATATATATATAAACTTACAGAGAGGGAAAGTTTTTGGATTGAAAAATTGAATACATATGTACCACTGGGATTAAATTTGAGGGAGGAATATTAATGCAAGTCTATATATATTATTAGTGTATGTTAATTAGGATTGGGCCAAAAGTATTTAAGGACATGGATTTGAACTTATCTCGTTTCTGACGAAGGGGCTGTGCCCCGAAACGTATCTTTACAACATGTATTTATTTATTTGAAGTTTAATAAAATTTATTTTCAATTTGAAGCTTTATATATATATATATATATATATATATATATATATATATATATATATATATATATATATATATATATATATATATATATATATATATATATATATATATATATATATATATATATATATACGTAATTCATAAACTGTATATGCGCACGAATTATATAGTCTCGCTCATAGGATTACTTAATATATCGGTAATGTCTAATGAGTTTTATAAGCCTTTTAAAGTTTCCATTGATAGATAGGTTTTTTGCCTCCAGTATCATTTGGCTAAAATATCGATTACTGTATACGATAAAGATTAAAGTTGATATAAATATTGAAGACTCACAGCGGCATTATATACAAATCGAAAGAAGCTGGATTTTAAGCCGGATGAAATAAAGCCCAATGGGCAATGGCAATGCCAGTAAAAAGTCTTTATAAGATTTATAATGTACCTGCTGTAAATTACTGTAATACATGAAATATGAAATAATTTACTATATTAATTAAAAGTACAACAAAAGCGTCTGGTGCATGTATCGTCCTAAATATTCAAGAGGTACCGCACGCACGGAAACGCGGACGTGTCTTGGCGTTCGTGTGATATCAGATAACTATACTTCCACATACCGTATTTACTCGTTCGAGCGCCGCCCCCGATTGAGCGCCGCCCCCGAATGAGTGCCGCATTTGAGATTGAATGTTTTTAGAGAGCGCCGCCCCCGAATGAGCGCCCCACTGAGCAGTGTAAAAACTTTCCACCGTCAAAATGGGGACATTTAGTGACAAAACATTTAAAACTCTTGTTTATTTTATTGCTGAAAGTTCTTCTTATAATTCACAAATAAAAGTTTTTTTAAAGAGCGCCGCCCCCGATTGAGCGCCGCCCCCCAATGAGCGCCGCATTTGGAAGCTCTGAAAATTTAAAGAGCGCCGCGGCGCTCAAACGAGTAAATACGGTAATCATTCTCGATCGATAAGTAGTAGTAGTAGTAGTAGTAGTAGCAGAACTTCATGAGCGTTTACAGTCAGGATAGTATTGTTTACACACAGTTGGCGATGTTTGGGAAATCATTAAACGATCCCGTAGAGGCAGTACAGCGAAGCGTGCTCAACTTCGCAAGGCAGGCGCGCCTGCATGGAGTCCTTTCCTTGCAAGTGAAATATGATCCAGCTTCTCGCATGAAATGTAGCGCAAAACTTATTATTGATGACATTCAGTATACATGTAGCAGGAAGTCGTGTCATGATAAATACGAATTTAGAACAGTTTCTCTCACGATTTCTTGTTGGAAATTATATTTTATCACCCGAAACTATAACACGTAAAGTTAATTTTCCAAACACAACAGACTCCTCTATCACCCCTCGCTGAGATCAATATCAATTCATCAGGCAAAATCTGCGTTACACGTGAGTCGACGTGACCAGCTCCGACCAGGATCTTTCCTCCACAAGAGGGAAGAGCCTGGGAACGAGGTTGACATGCAGTTTGCTGGAGAAATATATAGCTCTCATAACTTATGCAAATATTAATATATAAATATTTTCTT